TCTATCTATCTATCTATCTATCTATCTATCTATCTATCTATCTATCTGTCTGTCTGTCTGTCTGTCTGTCTGTCTGTCTGTCTATCTATCTATCTATCTATCCATCTATGTCTGTCTGTCTGTCTATCTATGGAGTTCCTTCTCTCTTGCCATTCAATAATTCAATTCCCCTTTGATCTCAACTAGCCCATCCTTTGTGTCCATTTGAGCTCATCTCTATCTGAATCAGAGGATATGGTTTCAAATTCCAGATCTGCCTGTATCAGTCTGACCTTGGGCACTCTTGACCTCCATTTCATTCTCTGTAAAGTGAAGAAGTTGGATTGGACGATCTCTATGGTGCCTTCCAAATCAAGTCATAGGTCCCACTGATCATCCTTTTCCCTTAGTTTATCCTCGTCCCACAACAACTCTCCTCTTTCTACAACCCCAGCTTTCTTCTTTCTCTTCCTACCCTCCCACTATCCATTCTGCCATTCCCCTCCCAAAAAATAACTGGTGGGAGAAATTTGGTCCAGTGGGTATGGGGGGATGGTTGACCTGGAGTTCATGGAGGGGACAGTAGCTAACTTCTGATTATTTCTCTTCACAACCTCAGGAATCCCTGCCTTCCAAAATATGTGTCATAGTTGGGCCCTCTGGCACTATGTCTGGTTTCCTAGGGCAGCCTCTGTTATTAAAGACTCTGCCCCTAGGGATCTGTATGCCCAAGTAGCTCAGACATGGAAAATTATGAATTTGCTTTCTGGGAGGTGGGGGTGGGAGGGAGAGAGAAATGCAATTTTAATCTGAAAAAGCAAAACTGTGTGGGAAAGGGAGAGATATGGGGGAGGTAGACAGCTTGGGAATTGGGATGGAGAAACCTGGAAGCAGGAAAGAGGGAGGGGCAAGAAGGAGAAATTGCTGAGTGACAGCTAGTCTGGGGTTCAAACCCAGAGGGCAGACCTCCAGCTTCCCTCCTTCTGATGGGTTAGCTGTATAGTGGTATGGCTAGGGAGGCAAGCCCAGGTCAGACACCACCATCTGCTCTGGCAATAGATGCAGGGCCTCCGCCAAGGTCCTTGACTCCTCTAGGTTCAGAATCTAAACCTCTCTGCTCTCCCCCCACTAAGAGCAGAGGCTGGACCGGACCATTAATTAGGGATGTTTGAGAGGATAATGGTCTTGTCCTGGTCCCTCTTCTCTATTCCCTACCATCCCTCTATAGTACTTCCCCAGTTAACTTTCTGTGATCCCTGCCTATCTCCCAGGGCTCTTCCAGTTGTTTCTTTACTCTTCTTATCCTCTCTAGTCTCCTTGTTCATCTCCCTATCTCTCTACTCATCTTCCTCCATTCTTTAGTTAGTACCTTTTTCTCTTCATTGATTGACATCTCTCTTCCTTCCCTCCCTTGACACTCTTGATTTACTCTCATGGAAAGCACTTAATAAATGGTGAATGAGTAGGTCAAGTCTATAAGCATTTATTAAGCACCTACTATATGTACCAGGCATTATGCTAAGCACTGTGGATATAAAGAAAGGCTGTAAAAATAGTCCTTGACCTTAAGGGGTTCACAATCTAGTGGGGAAGATAGCATGGAAAACAACTATGTACATAGAAGATATATACACGGTAAAGTTGAGGCAATCTCAGAGGGAAGGCACTAATACTGAAGGAGACCAGGAAGGACTTCTGGTGGAAAACAACTATGTGGAAACATAGCTATAGATGAATGAAGGATTTTATTAAGCATTGTAAAGTACACTAAATTTGGGCATCACAAGACCTAGGTTCAAGTCTCAGGTCTAATACCTATTATCTGTATGACTGAGCAAGCCACTTAGACTTTTTGAGGCTCAATTTTCTCATCTGTAAAATGGGGGTGGTATTGTATGAATTATTAACTAAGAGGGTTATCATTAGAAAATCACTAAGCATTATAGAAATGTGAACTATCATTATTATTACCATCCCATCTCTTGTTTTCTCCACTTTCTTACATTTATCTACCTACCATCTGCTCCAACTCCCAGTTCTTTTTCCATTCTTTCCTTCTTCTCTACTCACTTAATTCTCAGCTCTTTTCCCTGTTCCTTTTATTTCCCCTCAACCTCTCCCTTCTTTTTCAGTATCCTTCCTTCCCTTCTTCTCCCTTCCTTCCTTCCCTTCCTCCATTTTATTATGATATTCATAGGAGATATAAAAATTTAAAATCCAATTTAATTAAGCAAATATATTAAGTGTCTACATGTGTAGAGTACATAGCAGTTCCCTGCCCTCAAAATGTATATAGTCTAGTAGGAGAGGTAAGACATGTATATGTAAATAAATCCAATTCAACATTGATTAGGTGCCCATTATATATGCAAAGTTGTATTTGTGCATTCACCGCTTAAAAAGGACAGTATCCCTACTCTAAAGGAACTCATCGTCTGGTGAGGGAAATGACAGGAAATTATAATTATAATTATAGTAGTAGTAGTAATAGTAAAACATTCCTATAGCACTTTAAAGTTTGCAAAAATACTTTATGTACATCATTTCATTTGATCTTCATGACAATCCTAAGAGATATTATCATTATCTCTATTTTGCAGATGAGGAAACTGAGACTAAGTTACTTGCCAGGGGTTATACAGTTAAGTAAATGTTGTGAGACAGGATTTAACATTCCAGCCACCATGCCACTTAGCTGCCTTTTTGAGGCAGCTGCCAGATATCTGTGAACGGATAAATATATACCTTAGTTGTTCTTCTCTCCTCTCTGTCTCTCTGTCTCTCTGTCTCTGTCTCTGTCTCTGTCTCTCTCTCTAAAGAAAAGCTATGTCACTCACAGTAGAAAGATGACTCAGGAGCCCATGGGCCATGACATTGAAAGGCTGATGAACTTTAGACACTTGCCTTCCCTTTGCCTGGGAAACTGTCAACTATTAGACTAAGGGACTGAGGAAAGCCATGAGGAATAGCAGAAATCTAGAAAGAGAGAACAAAATTAGCACCTCTGTCCCCAGTTGCCTTTGACTGTCAGAGAGCAGTAAGAATTATGGCCTTCAGATACCAGGCTGTAAGTGACTCATGATTTATGCATGTATTTGGGACTTGGGCTTACTCTTTTGGGGGTCTCTCTCTTTTTTTCTTCCTTTAAAAAACAAACTTCAATAATGTGAACTATGGGCTTGCAAGTTGGGAGGAGATCTCAGTGTCCTGGAACACAGGGGAAATGGTGAGGGCTCCAAGGCAAAAGAAGGAAAAGAAATCCCCTGAGAAGGTTCTTGGGCCTTGTCAGTGCAGTATAATGCAAGAGAGCTGAGGGATCATAGGTGTCAAGCTGGAAGGGACCTTAGAAATTGTTTTGTCCCTGCATCTCATTTGGAGGCCCAGAGATGTTAAATGATTCAAACAGGGTTGTGTTTGTCTGACTCTAACTGCAGTGTTCTTTTCTACTCACTGGATTTGGAATCAAAAGACCAGCATGCAAATCTTATGTTAACTCACCTGTGAACACACTCGCCTGTGTGAACCTAGGGAAATCCCTTCTCCTCCTGGGCTCCAGAGTGGATTGAACCAGATCACAGGTTCTTAACCTGGGTTTGGGTTCATGACCAGATTTCAGGGTGGTTGTGAATTTGGATAGGAAAAAATTACATCTTCATTTCAATAAAACTGATTTTCTTTGTAATCCTATATATTTTATTTTATGCACTTAAAAATATTATTCTGGGCAGGGATCCATAGGCTTCACCAGACAGTCCAAGTGGGTCCGAGACACAAAAAATCTTAAGAATCCCCCTGTTGGACAAGAGAATCTCCAAGGTTTCAACCATTCCTAGTTTTAAATCCTATGAACCATGTCAATGAGAATTGCTGACAATTAGGGTTATAAATGACACAAATGAGAAGATCCATGACTCAGAGGGCCATACTGAGAGGCATCTTGGCATAGCAAAAGAATACTGGAAATAAGGTCAGGAAATCTGGGCTTTAATTCCATTTGGGACCAAGGTCAAGTTGCTTGACCTCTCAAAGTCCCACTCATCTATAAAAAGAGAAATGATGCCTCTTGCACTCCCTACCTCTGAGAGTTGTTGTGAGGACAGTGCTTTGTAAACTTTAAAGAGCTATAGACATGTGAGCTCTGATTATGATTCCCTGCCTTTTTTTTCCTTTTTTTTCGTATCTTCTAAATCTCTCCCTCACCTTCCCATGCTGTTTCCTTCCAGCCTGGGGGCTTCAGTGTTTAACACTCACTCCCTACTGTCATCTGACTTGCTGTCTCATTAGTCTGCCTGTCCCCCCAAGTGAAGGGAGAGCATTGAGGCCTAATTGAATGTAACCAATTATTCACTAGGCGCCAACCCTCC